GTTGATCAACAAGAGCCCAAAAGCCACTGGAGGAATGATCCAGTCAGGATACTGCATGATGATGAAGAGGCCAGATGCTTTGTCCTTACGTAGATGCTGTATACATGTTGTGAAAAGTTGCTGCAATGTTGCTCCAGAAGTCTCTTATCACACAGTTCCATTTTCATGCCTGGATTTGTGGACTGTGGTGCGGGCCAAGGGGCTGCTTAAAGAAGGGGCCAGCGTGCATAAGAACCCGGCCAGCAGGGTGAGACCCAGTCCGCCCCAGGCACAGAACATGGACCAGCCATACCCATGACTGATGTCCTCTGGAAGGCCGTACAGGTAACGTGGATAACGCGACAACTCAAAGTTAATGCCCGCCACACACGTACAAAGGGAGATAATACAGCAGGTTCCTGTCAGAGGGGAAATTACTCGAGATGTATCATCAAACATTTATGAAACACCCTTTCTTTTAGATCACAAATATAGGATGCAAAGCTTTTGATCTATTTTCAAAGCACCTTCTTGTATTAAAAAAACAGCCACTAGATGGCGACAAAATTGAGTAGTCGACTTCTATTCTGTTTGTTTCTCTCACACACGCTCACAAACGCACACTCTGTCTCTTACCGCCCATGAGGAAGAGTAGTCCAGCTACATACTGCATGAGATCATGTTGTTGACAGCATCCAAGAACTCCGATGACCCAGCCAAAAAGGATGATAGAGACAGCCATGCCCACAAAACCTGCTGTCATCCTCCGGAGGTCTGCAGCACAAAACACCAACATTAAGCTCCGTTTGTTACAATTCAGGGCTTGCAAGCATCTATCTAGTGATGATGTCTGTTGCATGTTAAATATTGACTTTTGCATTCTCATTCATCAAGGTCTCTTTTATTATTATTTCACAAACTACAAAGGAAGTAATGAAACAAATACAGCAAAAATCTTGCCAACAAAGCAACTGATTACAACTGTACTATTATTACAAAAAGCACATTTCAAAGCACATAATTTTGGCTCCACAGGGCCAGGTATATTATTGATTTGAAAAAAAGGGGAGGGAACTAATAATCAATGATAAAAGATCAGTTTTCTGTGCATATCACTTCTGTACATATTATTATTATACCTTATCTTGAACAAAGTATTTTGTCTATTCACTACCATTCAAAAATAACATTTCTTGTTGCCAATGTTGAAAACATTTGTGCTGATGAATTTTTTTGTGGAAAATGTGATACATTTTTAAGGTTTCTGGATGAACAGGAAGTTTGAAATAATAACACATAAAAAAAAAGAAGTCTTCTGTAACTTTATAAATGGTTTTACTGTCACTTTAAACATTTAATAATTTAATGCATCCTTGATAATAAAAGTAATAATTTCTTAAAAAAAAAAAAAAAGATAGAAGTAAATGATCAAATCAAAACAAGAGGAGGGAAATATTCAGGCTGCCAGGCAGTATAAAATGTTTGACCTTTTTGGTGAAACAATGAATTTTACAAGTACATTTATTTATTTAGTCATTTAGCAGACGCTTTTATCCAAAGCGACTTACAAATGAGGACAATGAAAGCAGTCAAAAGTAACAAAAGTGCAACAATATATAAGTGCAAATGACAAGTCTCGGTTAGCCTAACGCAGTACACGTAGCAAGGTATATATATATATATATATATATATATATATATAT